TCCTTGCTGAGTCACGCTATGATCGGGCGGTGCCACAGTCTCCGAGTCCCGGCCCTATTGTTCTACTTTGTAGAAATGGCGAGATCTGCAGCGGATAAATCGAGAAAACAGGAGAAGAGCATTCGGAAGCTGAACAGAAAAACGTCCAGCAACTGGTTTGAAAGTCAGGTGTATGCAAACCTGCCTGCTATCATAGTCGAGATGTTGATGTTTCTCAACTTGAAGAATCCTCAGCACCTCGATCATATCAACAGAGCAGAGTATCGACGCGCGATCAACTCCACGCTAGTGATGGGAAGTTCAGGAAGCCTTGAAGGTATACCAGAAGAAAGCTGCACCTTCAAGGAAAAGTTCAAGCTCAAGTTCGACCTTTACTTTCGAGCTCGATCCAACTCCTCCAACTCCTCGAGAGTTTCTTTGAGAGATGTGCTGAGAAGCTTGGTAGACTCGGAAGATGCCGACGACGGAGTCCCCCAGGTCATAGCGCTACATTCATACGACGACGACAAGGTCGCTGACGCCAGAGACGAGCTCGAAGGTCTCTTGCTCTCCGAGAACGCTCTCATCCATTTCGAGATCACAGAAGAACCGTCTTGTATGGTACGAAAGCTGTGGCAGCTTGAGGTAGGTTTGGCACTCAAAGACCAAGTGTGGTCAACACAAGGCTCAGAGTGCGGTGACAGCAAGCTGCTGGCAATGGGCATAATAGTCGGAGGAGAGAAGGAGGCTTTCGTCAAGAACGCTACTCATATCGCAAGGCGCTGGAAATCTGCTAGGGAGGCTGACATCTTGTTGGCGAAGAGCGGAGTACCAGTCTTCTTTTGTTACGCTGCGCCTCAAAGCGTCCACAGCATGTTCAACGGTTTGAGGATGGACCTCAAGGTACTTGAGCATATCCCTCTGCTCCTCGAATCTCTCTGTGACAGTGACTCCCGCGGCTTGTAGGAGCTTCGTGAGGACAACGAGGACAAACACATGGTCTGTAGAGGGTGTTGACTCACCGTTGCA